TTTTATTTTTTTTGGTGATGGTTGGATTTGAAAAGAGATGGAGGATGGGAGGGGTTGCTTTCCTCCTCCAGGGTACCAGCTGGAGGGTCTAGCTGAAGTGGCAGTCCTGGGCTCCATCCCACCAGACTCTCCCTATGGCCTGTCTCGACCCTTCATTCATTCATTCATTCATTCATTCATTCAGCAAACACTTATTCATGCTCACCATAGCTGCCACGCTGAGGGAGGACACGGGGTGGCGGCGAAAGGGGTCTGAAATAGGTCACGGGCCCTGATCCACCCCCACAGTCCCTCCAGGGTCTCACCAGGGGTGTTGACACAAAGCCTTCATCGTCCCCACCCCCAGTCCCCAACACCTGCCAGAGAACTGTCAGGGCCACCCCAATTCAGATACTGGGCTGTGATCAGAGCCCAGGGCTGAGGCCACAGTCCCTGGCACCCCCTCCCAGCATCCACCAGAGAATCAGGTGGCAGGGAGGCGGGCAGGCCTTCCCACCCCACCTGCCTCCCCCGCTGGGCTCACAGGTCGCCCACGCCTCCCCATCCACCCCAGGATCTGGACTCTGCCAGATGGACGGTCCAGGCTCATCGTCTTTGGCCTCAGCCCTCAACACACTGCTAACAGGCTTGGCCAGTTTTAACTTGAGCCAAAGGTGGAGGCGGCGGTGGGGGCACAGAGAAACGGAGGGGGGTGCTGATCTAAACAGAGCGGATGGGCAGGAAGGAGGGCAAACGGTAGCCTTTTAACCACCCAAGGCCGGTGCTCCCCCCGACTGGCTTAGCGCCTTGCACCCCCAATCCCCCACCCCGCTTTCTTTGTAGTTACCGATTAGCTCCGGATCCTGGGCACCGTGTCCCCCGCGGCCGGCTGGACCTGCCCCGCCGGCCTGGCTTTGTGCAAATGACCAAAGCAATGGAGTCCAGAGGTGCAAACTTCCCCGACGGGGCCTGGGGAGGCCGAATGAATGGGGGGGGGCAGGGAGGGGAGGCGGTGTTCAGGCAGCTCCCCCAGCAAAGGGGCAGGAAAGAGTGGGTGAGGGAGGGAAGAAGGGGTGGGGGTCTAGAGGGAATGGGAGGCAGAAGGGGAGAGAGAGAGAGACAGAGAGAGAAGGATGCGTGGGGGGGAGGATGGGAGGTACAGGGAAATGGATGAGGAGAGAAAAGGAAAGAGAGGGGGAGAGAGAGAGAGAGAGAGAATGCCGGAAGGTGGGGAGGGAGGGAGGAGGGGGCGGAGGAGGGGAGGGGGCCAGCTCGGATCTGTCAGCTGCCACCCCCAGAGGGGGGAGGAGGGGTGGGTGGAACGGGTGGGGGGAAGAAATGATGCTGTGGCAGAGGCAAGCAGAGGGAGGAGGTGAGGAGAGGAGGGTTCGGGGGAGAAGATGATGGAAGGTGGGGTGGGGAGGCCGAGGGAGAAGGGAGGGGAGGGAGGGGGCCGGGCGCCCACCTTTGTGCATGCCGGTGTAGGGGTCTTTGAGCACCGTGAGCTCATAGATGCGTCCGAACTGCTCGAAGAGCGGCTTGAGGTCCTTCTCGTCCAGGTTGCGCGGGATCTGGCCCACGAAGAGCTTGATGGCGTCCAGGTCCTTCATGCCGTCGGGCTGCCCCC